TTCAGTCTTGTGGGCCGGAGTTTCAATACACTGTCCTATAACAAGTGGCCAATGCATGAAGCAAAAATTTACTAAAGAATTTTGCAATAATCTATTGAACAAAATGGGCCAAGTCTATTGAGAGGCATAATCTGCATTGGACATTATTGTCTCAAACAGCCGACTGACAAATAAGGACTTGAACAGCAAAACGGATTTGCCTGGTGCTTTTTTGTATGGGACACAAGATAGCAGCATTTTTCCAAGCACAATGGACCAGCTTTATAAAGGCATGCAGCCTCCTTCACTGGCAGGCAAGAAAAGCATGCCATTTTCTTCACCTCTTCCAAGTGTATCCCATGCCCCATATTTAGAAACATTCTGGACAAAGCGAGAGCACAAGTCCCAATCTAGGCCACTGAGGTCACATGGGACTCAGCTCACACATCACACACAACCTTTTCCATCTTCTCCACACAGTGCCACAACTGGCATATATGATGAAGTCAGGCCTAGCCTCAAGCTGTTCATGCCCTAGTCACCTTCAAGGCAGATTACTGCCATGCACTCTGCACAGAGGTATTCTGTACGACCACCAAAAAACGTCAGCTGGCCCACAATGCAGGTACTAAAGACCTGATACGTGACAGAGGATCAGAGCATATGATCCTCATCCTTGATCCAACTCCACTAGTTACCAGTTTGCTTCTGACTTCAGTCCAAGGCACTGGGTTTGATCTTCAAAGCCACAAAGAGCCTGGGCCTCCTCCCATATGATCCTGCTCCAGATCACTCTACTATGCAAGTTGGGCCTCACCCACTGTGTGATTCAAATGGTGGAACAGCTGGCCTAGGGAGCAGTGGGGGGAAAATGGGATGTGTGGGCAGAGAGATTGACCACAACCTGGTCCTGGGCTGGGAAATTCTGCAGTACTGAGCAGAGAGGAACAGTCTCTCAGTGATGAGAAAAAGATACATTCCAATCCCAAGACCAAACTAACTTGCTGAGATTTGCCTGCCTGGTGGCAGATGGATTAGGACTTGCTTGGATAAGGTGGTGGGGAGGAGAGGCTCCAAAAGGTCTCTGGATGAGACCAGTGCACAGGATCAGAGACGAGGAAGAGGAGAAGACCCCTCCCCATGGTCTGAGTGGTCCATGTCCAGAAGGTGCAGCCAGTGATCAAGATGATGAGCAATCAGTGTCTTGGTGGAAAGGGGTCATCACTTTAGGGCAACCACCACTACATACTTGTTTTTATAAACCAGTATCATTGAGGACATGAAGGCTGTTTGCTTTCCACTAACAAAACCTGTCCTTGTTGCAAGTCAGTTGAGCTTTACTGCTGGTAGGTTGCTCAGACCTTTGATCCACAGTAGCATTCAGCTTTAGGACTTACATGAAATCCACTGTTATGCCACATTATGGTATTATCACATGTATTACATTCCCTTAGTGCTACCAAAGTTAAAAAATCAATGTAGCATTGGTATTTATTTTATTGAACACATATTCCATTTTTTCTCCACATACAATACTTGACATACTAGGCAGGAGTGAGGAACCTGCAATCCACTGGCCCACATTTGGCCCTAATTTCTAAAGCCTGCTGGGTACAATCAGTTCAGCCCTCTAGTGTCTGCCCTCCTGAGCAAGAAGAAAGCAGGAGAGAGAGAAAAGGAGAAGATGGAGAAAGTGAGAAAGGGTGACCCACCCAGTTTTGCCACTGCTTCTGCCCACTGCAAACATGTGGCCTCATCAGATAATCCATGTGGGGACATGGCTCTCAACACGATAAAGCTTCCCACCTCTGACATGCTCCTCAGAATCATGGAAACAAAAGTTTGTCCAGTTGCTTACTATGATTATATTTCCTGCCTTTCTCCCCTTTTGCGAGGAACCCAAGACAGGACATATGGTCCACCTCCTCTCCACACTATCGCACAACAACCCTGTAGGGTAGGGTGGGTTGAACATTTTGCTTGGAAGTATATTAATTCCAAGAATCACTGTCAGTCAGGGGTATAGGGAGGCTTTTCTTCCTAATTTAGTAGCAAAAGAAAAGACAAACGGACTCAGTAGGACACAGGAGCATCCATACTTTTTTTAAAAGTGCAGTTTCACAAGCTTTTTCTCTCCACCAGGGTATTTCAACTCATTGTACGAGGTGAATGATTACAGATGTCATTTCAATGTACTGCCTCCCAACTCTTATGTGCAATGTGGATGTGGCTGTGGTTATCACCTAAAAAGTGACTAAAAGCAATGAAGATGATGATAGTATGACATGTTTGACAGTGATACACCTCTTTGTTTGCTTTTCTCAGCCTTAAGGTGGTGATGTAGGCACTTCTGGTTTCAAGATTCCTCTTACTGGATGGAGTAACCATAAAGCCCCAGGCTTTTTTCCTCTCTTTTAAAAAAAAATATGTCAGGGTCATGTGAACATTCTATAGGAAAGCTGATCTTCTTGGATCCGTGTCCTGTGTGGTGTATTTTGAGAGACAAGGAAAAGAGGCGGTGTTGAGTCAGACCACTGGATCTGCATAAAATCAAAATATTATGCAGATCCACGGGTCTGACTCAACACTGCCTCTCTGCTTTGCCTGTCAAACCAGAGCACACAGGATACAGTGATTAGCTTTATTGTAAGATTATAAATATTTTTCTCAGCTAAGTTCCCTCAGAGTACTCTCCTGGAAGAATTAATGACAACATTAGCATGTTGGTAATTTTATTAAGTAGCCCAATGTATTTCACTTAATATGCAAAATCAGAGACCATTTTCTCAACATACACACAAACAGATTTTTCCTAAACACCACAGACCTAACCATGTTTCCACAGAAGCCCTTTGATTGCATCAGTATGACTTTCTTCAAAGTTGGTGCAAGAATCGTAGTGACAGGTGAGACATAGCTAGCCACGTTCCATGCTGGACAGTAACATACAGTAAAGGTATTGAGGCAGCAGCTTTCCGTTGTGGTCTGACACATAAAAACCACTAGCACCACCAGCAATGGCCACTGATTGTCAGGCTGTTTTCCCCAGCTGCAGTAGTATTTTTTGCAAGTGATGGGTATGTTAATTCAATAAGTCCAGGGCCAGCTCAAGATATTTTGCTCCTGAGGTGAAGGACAAGCTAGCACCCTTCCCATTGCATTCACCAGCAACTGAATCTTATTTCAGCACTGGTGAAGGAGCAGCAGTGTCTTCCATTCCAGTTGAAGCCAGCAGACTAGCTTAGAGGATGCAGATTAGGTCACCTGGCATACAGAGCTCTGCCCTCCCTCACCACACCATTACTCTCCCTGTACAATGTCTGCTGCCTAAGGCAGTTGTTTCACCCTGCCCAACAATAGGACCACCACCCCTGATCATGCGCAATGCTGCTGAACCAGACAGGGACTATGCCAGTCTTTGTCCCAATGACAACCAGTTAGAAAATACATAACGGAACGGGTGGCACAGTGATGGTGGTATCCAGCCAGCCATCACTGTGTCAATCCCTTACATGAGGAGTCCTGCTACTTTAAGATACTTCCTGCCATGCTTCCTGCATTAATGAATGTGCTGAAAGACAGGAGCTCTTGTCTCTGAAAGCACCCCGGAAGGCAAGCCACTTCTGATTCATGTTACTCAAGTCCAGCTCTAAGATGTATGAACCCAAAAGATCTTTCTCCAGAAACACAAATATTTACATATTCCATATCTGCACAGAAGAGATATCTCTGATAGGCAAGGAAGTATTTATTCCGCATGGTTAGAAATGTCTGTGGAGCATGTGTGTTGGCCTAAGTACCAATATAGCCATTAGTGGTCTTTAACCAATTCTTAAGATTAACACTGGCCAGGTCACTAATGGCTCTTTAGACAGATGTCTCTAGCTTTGCTTTAAAAGGACTCTTGAAGACAGTGGCCATGCTGCCAAAAGAAGATTAGGAGTATTTTGTTAGCTACGCAGCAGGGAATTTGTAAAACCTCAGTTGACTGCAGGCTTATCTAGACACAGAAAATGCCCCATTTTAACTAACTTGCCTCCTAAATACATACAGTTAACCTATGCAATTCCATTTAAAAAAGATTAGATTTCATTTGGCCAAAACAGAAGCTAAATTTTCAGCAAACCATTCTTCTCAAAAATTATTTTTACAGCAACACATTTTTTCTGCGATAGTAAACACCAGAATCTAGGAGCCAAAAATATGTGACTCTGTGGAGCTTTACTGTTTATGCTTTCAGGCATAGAATGCACCACGAACACACTTAAATATTTTAGAGAGATAAATAATTCCTTCCCTAAAAGCTGCCACCTTTCATCACACATACATCCCACCATCCTACGAACCATAAGGCATGTTTTTCTGCATGGCTCATATCTCAGATTTTTTTTTACACAAACACAGATAAATAGAGATCAGTTATGCTACTTTCATTAGGACCGATTGCCAGGATCTCAGCTGGCCAGCTTTGACTCATTTAAAGCCAGCCAGGAAGACAGACGTATTTTTTCGAGCCTTCCAAAGCGGAACACACGGGATCTCATTAAATGGTGGGAAGAGAGTCACCAATCGTGGGATCTCCAAAGAAGCCCTCAAACCTGAATAGCCACCTTACAAGCCCGTTATATTTATATACAAACATAACCAGCCTACTATCTGCAAAAGCTCTCGGACACACCAGACAACTGGGAGCAGAGCAGTCGTTTCCCCGGAAAACGAACAGCAAGTCATTCCTGCCGCCTGGCAGGCAACGTAAAATGAAATTTAAAAAGTAGGAATGTAGAGAAGCTGCTCCCTCTGGAACGGGACCGCACCCGGAAAGGAGAGAGGGCAGCTCCCCGAAACAGCACCCGCACCCCAGCAAGAGGACTCTGCTTCTCCCATTACTAACCACCGCCGCCCTCTCCAGGGCAAGGAGAGCCCTCACTCTGGCTTCCCCACCGGCGGTACGAGGTCTCCCCCCCACCCCCGCGCCTGCCCCACTCGTGCGGCGGGTCTTCCTCGCGAGCTGCCACACGTACAGTTCCTGATGTCGGATATGAAGACGGCCAGGCCGCGCATTCCGTCCCCCTTCGACACAGCCGGCATCTTGGCGACAAAGCAAAGGCGCCCTCGCCGCCGCCGCTGCTTCTACGACGGCTCCCGCTACTCGCTCCAGGGACCTTTAGCCTCTGGAGTCGCTTCTCCGCCCACGCCGCCCCGCCTGAGCGCAAGCGCGGCGCTCTTCCTCGCCCGCCTTCCCAAGCCGCGAAGTGCCCGGCAGGCCCTCGAGGCGCCACCTCGCGTGCGGAGGCGGCGGAGGCCGGCGGGAACGGGAAGTTGGCCAGGCAGGCAGGCAGGCAGGCAGGCAAGCTGGCAGCCTCGCCCGCGCGCCCGCGTGCCCGTTCATCGCAGGCGCTCAGGCCGCAGTTCCCGGGAGCGACCCCCGCGGCATGAGCGCGCCGCTCTCCCAAACAAGCATGCGTCGGAGTCAGCCGCAGGGACAGTCCAGGCGCTCGACCTTGCGAAGGCTGCCTGGGACGGTGCAGAGCCCGGCGGAGCGCCGCCGCCGCCGCGTCCCCCGGGGCTCCGCGCTAAGCGCCTCCGGGGGATTTCGGCTGCCATCCCGAGCACGGCCGCCCCACCGGCATGGCCAGCGGGAGGGGATCGTGGTCGTGGTGGGCTAAAACATTAGAATGGGCTCAAGCCGAGCGCCCCTCTCCTAGGGAGTTGGTCCATTGGACGCAATGGGACATAAACTCCAAAGGATTCCTCCGAAAGACTGTGGTTATTTATTCATTTATCTATTGTATGGCACATTCACATCATGCTTCAATGAAAAAACGCAGGCATAAAAATCTGAACTATAAAATGTAAAATATTATAAACATATGTCTAAATTACAAATATAATTTTTTGCATCGTTTGTCACAACCGGGAAATCAAACTGTCCTTCATAAGCTCTGTCTTGGAACCTGTGACTATATGGATAGTTTGTCTTTCAGTCCCGCAATCACAATTCGGTGATGGTATTTTGCCCCATTTATAAAGGGCATCTGCACATCCCTCTTGGCCAGTGTGAATTCGATTTAGTATTGTCCATATAGCACAGGGCTGGACAAATCCAGGTAGTTTTTCTAAGATACAAGGCAGACTATGGCATTGTGGGGGGCAGTTTTCCATCCAGTGTTGTTTCCATGTATTGTGGATGTTAAAATCATCTTCTACAAGAGCCTTAGCAGTACAAATAGCTGGGCGTCTATTATTATGCCACTAAGTGCCGTCAAGTCTTCTCAGAAGCAACACTATGAATGAAGGTGATAAATGAATGCTCTCCAAGGTAAGCTCAGAAATGAAATCCACTAGGTTTTTCAAAGGCCTTCGGCTGTAAACCAGCCTTCCCAACCAGGTGTTGGGCAATAGCACTCTTCATCCCCAGCCATGCATAGCCATGGTTGCAGAAGGTTGCTTTAAGTAATAAAGCCAAGTTTTTGTGAAGGTCTTTGCTTTTATGCAGTAAACAGATTGTTCAGCTAGTATAGATTTTTTTAAAAAAAATTCAGCTTATTTATAATCTGTTGGAGAAATGAGAAAACCAAGGTTTAAATCATTCCCCTGCTATACAATAATTTTCACTTAAGAATTTCAGCTTCTCTGCACTTAAATAAAAAATTGTACCGTTCTGCATTATCCAAACATTACAATGTAACTCATGTTTCAATTTAGGTGACTCAGATTTGAACAGAAAGCAATGTAATAACAGAAATAGTCCAGGCATTTTATTAGCATCTCAGTTGATTCCCATGCCCCAGCGAATAACAAAACCTACTGCATTTTGAGTTTTCTAGCAGTGCAGTCTACCTTTTATATCTTTTATTCTGGGCTCTCTCTTTCATTTTGTATCTTTCAGTTTTTGTAATCTGCCCAGAGAACATTTGTTACTGAGCTTACAAATATGAGAGGCAGATTTCTCTTCCAGAAACCATGGAAATTAGATGGCTGTGCCCCTCAATATGTCTGTTCTTGCCCGGGGGTGTTGCACTTGCAGCTTGCTCTTTTAGACCCTCCAGGTCTGCAGCATTTCCTGCAAGCGCACCCTTCTCCCCGACACCCTTGTCCGTTTGCCTCTCTGAGGATTAAGCAATTACGCTCATTACGCTTTATATGGGAGAGTGCATTGCTTCTGTTCATTTGATGAAGCAAACTGTTTGAAACTAAAGAACAGGTTATTTTTACAATGAATATATATAAGTATCAGAATCTCTGTACCTCAAGCTTTAAGGTTGCTTTGGGTGCGAAAAGGGACCATCAGAAATAAATTCCACCTGCCAGCTTTTGTACACATGGGCTCCGTTCAGACAACATAACCCATGTAGGGGTTGCTATTGAACCATGGTTTGTTGTTGAAGCACGGGTTCAGTAATAATAATAACAATAATAATAGTTATGTTGTCTGAACCAAGCCACACTAACAAATGTGGTTGTTACAAGCAAATGACCCACAGTTCACAACTGTTGAGAGCTAGGTTCTCCCTTCTCTCTTTCAAACAATGGACAGTTCTTTGACAAAAACTCTTTCTTTCCAATGAACATCCAGCAAGCTATAGCCAGCAAAGAAAGAGTCTCTGAGCATGCACAGAGTGGTTTGTTGAACCCAAACTAAAAATTATTTCCAAGAACCCTCCTGTTGAGTAACCCTGGGCCCCTCCCCTCTGGAGACAGGCAAGCCTCCTAGCTGGCTAGCCCTTCTCTCCTAACACCATGTCATGGGGTCAAGGATCAGACCTGGCTCCACTTGCTCCCCCCCCCCGCCCCAGGTCCCCTTTGGCACTTCCAGAGCCTAATGGTTCCCAGAGTCTGCCTGAACACCTGGAGATGGCAGCCTTGAGATAAGCTCTTCCTCCTCTCCCATCTCTGTGTTTGCAGGCCTCCTTTTCCAGGCATCCCCATCCTCATCTGAAGAGTTGGTGCCACCCTGGCCCTGAAACATGTGCAAGGAACAACTGCCTCTTTCATTCCCAACACCAAACCATGATTTCTCTTCCCAGGTTGCTCATCATTAGAAAACATCATTTGTCAGTATAGCAAGGTTCAGATAACACAGCAACTTGAAAGTTCAAAAGCAACTCTCAACTCTTGAATGAAGGTTATGTCTGAAGCCAGCCCAAGTGTACAGAAGCTGGTGGGTGGAGTGATTTCTGATGCCATCCCTGCACATCTGAATGTGCTTAAAGCAGGCCACAGTTTAACAAGCCATATTCATGGGTGTGGGTTTTCTTTTCTTTTTTAATAATAAGTTTTATTCAAAAATTTTAGTCCTAAAAACAAAGAAAAACTAAAAACAACATCAATCATCAAAAACATCGAGCCTGCTGGGTCAGCCCCCACATTTTTTTCCATTTATGATAACATAGAAACATAATCTATATGAAGTCCCATTTGTCTAGCCAATAATAAAAAGAGTCCCAAGTTTGATAGAAATCAGCATCTTCTTTCTCCTTTAATGACAAAGTCAATCTAGCCATTTCTGCACAGTCCAAGATCTTTTTTAGGATCAGTTCATCGGTGGGTGGTTCTTCACTTTTCCAGTGTTGAGCAAATGCAATCCTCACTGCAGTAATTACCTGTAAAATCAAGTACATTTCTTGTTTACTAATATCAGCAGGTATAATGCCTAATAAGAAAATTTCAGGTTTAAAAGCTAAAGATTTTTGTAACATTTCCTCAAGCCATTTATGTATTTTAATCCAATACTTTTTCGCATTATCGCAAGTCCACCACATATGATAGAAAGTACCCAATTTATGTTTACATTTCCAACATCCATTTGACATATTTGGAGGTGTGGGTTTTCTTATGGTCTGAATCCAGCCATGATGTTTCTGCTACACTGTGAGATTATTCTGAAAGATAAGCACTTCATGTTGTTCTGGAGTTCACCAGAAGTACTAACTTCTGAAACAGTCCTAGTTGAGGCTGATGCCATTGCTGAATAATGTCGAGCAGCTTGCCCATTTAGGTGCCTTTCAGACATGGCCTCGGTTGCCCTGTACGATGACCTGTGCAGGAAGAGAGATGGGGGAGTGTGTCCGTTGGTTCTCCTGAACCTCTCAGTGGCTTTCGATACAATCGACCATGGTATCTTTCTGGACAGGCTGGCTGGGTTGGGAGTTGGAGGCTCTGCATGGCAGTGGTTCCACTCCTATTCGATTCCAGAAGGTGGTGCTGGGGGACTATAGCTCTGTGCCATGGCAGCTTTGCCATGGAGTCCCGCAGGGCTCTATTTTGTCTCCCGTGCTCTTTAACATCTACATGAAACCATTGGGAGAGTTCATCTGGAGGTTTGGCCTGCGGAGTCATCAGTATGCTAATGACACCCAGCTCTACCTCTCATTTACATCTGCTCCAGGTGAGGCAGTAGCTGTACTGAACCAGTGCCTGGCCAAGGTAATGGGCTGGATGAGGGCCAACAAACTGAAACTCCATCCAAATAAGATGGAGGTCCTTTTGGTGGGTGATTCAGGTTATCAGGTAAGTGATTTTGGTCCTGTCCTGGATGGGGTAGAACACCTTCTAAAGGACAGCTTAGGAGTGCTCCTTGACCCAGAGCTGTCCCTGGAAGCTGCTAGGAGCGCTTTCCTTCAGCTCTGGCTGATCCAACAGCTGTGTCCTTACCTGGACAAGCACTGTCTAGCAACAGTGACACATGCACTGGTAACTTCCTGGTTGGATTATTGTAATGCGCTCTACTTGGGGCTGCCCTTGAAAATGGTCCAGATACTTCAATTAGTACAAAATAGAGCTGCCAGGCTGCTGATGGGGACTGGCCATTATTGTCATATAACACCAGCCCTCTATCAGCTTCACTGGCTCCCAGTTGAAGTCCGGGCCCAAATCAAGGTGCTGGTACTTACCTATAAAGCCCTAACAGCTTGGGTCCAGGATACCTGAAGGAATGTTTCCTCCCCTGTATGCCTTCACGCCCCTTAAGATTGGCAGGGAAGGCCTTGCTTCGGGAACCCTCCTTGAAGGAAATACAGAGGGTATCTACCCGGAGGAGGGCCTTCTCTGCGGTGGTGCCCAGACTATGGAATACACTCCCCAGAGAGGCCCACCTGGTGCTGACTCTCTACTCTTTCCATCACCAGGGAAATATCTTTTTATTTAAACACCATTTTAAAAATTAAT